TATATCTCTATATAAGACTTTATTATCTGGTTCTAAATGATAACCAGAATATTTTGCACTATATTCACAAGGATATTAAAAATATAATGATTCACAGCAGCTACTATTAAATTCTGAAAATTGTTGTCAACAACTATAATTAATATTAATATTATATCAAATTGATTAGTTTTAGATATTGTATTAACAATTACAATATCTCTATATTTTTCATAAGCATTAACTTAATTAGGGGACATCCAAAACAATAAATTTAGCCTTTTTTTAACTGGCTCAAACTGAGGCTTTATTATCCACCTTGGATTATTATCTTTTTTTTAAATATAATGTAATAAACATATTACATACATCATTTTTATCTGGTTTTACTTGTTTTTTAAATCTTTTCAAATTTTTTTTATTTATTACTTTATATAGAAACGATACAATTAATAAAATATATTGGCTATTCTTCTATGAATTGTTCAAAATTTAACTTTTTTCAACATTTCATCTGTTAATCTTTTGAATTTTGTGCTATTTCTGCAATGAGAGGATTTAATTTATGATTATATTTACCAATTATACTAGTAATTTAAATTTTATTAGCTAATTTAGAAAAAGCAAAGATAATATGCTAGGAACATTCAGCCATATGCGAATCTCAATCCCTTCTGTTCTTTTCTAGAATTTCTTTTTAAGGTTCATATATACTAGCATAAGAGCATTTATATATTCAATATATTACAATTATACATGCTGCCAAAATTATTTTGGGTTTTGGGACCCAAAATTAAAATTTTTTTCCGAAATTGTTTTTGACCTATTTTATTTAAAACCCAAAATTTTTTGATATTTTTTTTGAATAGGCAAAAATATAAGAAATATAAATATATAAATTTTATTTGCATTTTCTTATAAAAAATTTCAATTTATTTTTGAAACTCTGAAATAGGCTTTTTTTAAAAATCAATTTCGGTAGCATGTATAATTACAATAGTACTATCCTTTGCATCTAATTGAAGCTTTCTTGCTTTGTATAGTCATCAAAGAATTTATCAACTAGGTCTCATGTATTAAAATTGTTATCTGTATTTAATACTAATTTTTTTACTTGTTTTTTACTATTATTATTATTATTGTTGTCATCATGTTGAATTAAATTCTTATTATAAATTGGTTCTTCTGGTTGAGCTTCACCTACTAAAGCTTCATTAAGTATCTCTATATCTCTATATAAGACTTTATTATCTGGTTCTAAATGATAACCAGAATATTTTGCACTATATTCACAAGGATATTGAAAACATAATGATTTGAATGAATTACTACAATCATTGTCTTCCATTTATAAATAGAATAATAATTTTGACAAGATAGAGTAGTTTTGTATAATATAACAAGTATTAAAGAAATAGTGATCAGAAAAAGTACTAATTAATTTTTTATTTTTGTTCTTTTATTTTATATATCTTCTCTATTTTCTAGTCTTAACTTTTAATTAATATATTAATCATGCTATTTTTACTTTTATGCTATTACAACATTTATTATACAATATAATATACTCTGACTAACTTTTGTAATCAATATTTTGCATAATTAATTCACCAATTTGAAATTTCTTTTACTGATCAAATATTACCAATTGAATATCACGTGAACTATGATTATTCTAAGCCTTTGAAAAGAGGATTTTTATATATATATATATATACAATCTTATTACTATACTTTTCACTTCTTTTAATAACTATTACTAACTAATAACTTATTTTTTTTTAGCAATATTATATAATTGTGATCAGACAATCAAACTCCAAATAAAGCTGCAACTTATACAAGAATCTTGGTCATTGTTTTGCAGTTTTGATCTTAATATACTCTCTCATTGAATAGAATAATTAATACTAGTAAAATAATTTGAGGAGTATTAGGCTATTGGCAAATTACACTAAAGATGCTATATGAGAACACTATGGGAGTTAATTATTGTGACCCGATTGACAAAAAATATTAATCACGATTATTATAAATCAAAAAACCAGGATTATTATTTCAATTTTTGTGGCTTGAATAAATTTGTGAAATTTGTAGATCTTCATTTGATTGTTTGACAATTTTTTATCAACAAATTTTACAAATTTATGCAAATCGCAATAATTGCAATAGCTTGATCACTTCATGAATACATAGTAGTATATAATAGTAAATAGATATTTTTGTTCTTGATTTTGTAGTATGGTCTTGTTTTGCTGCTTTTGGAAATGATAAATGTGACAAAGAATATTATATTACCTGACAAATTGTATTAAGGGAGCATTAATAGTATATTGTAGTTAGATTTATTTTAAGTAGTACAAATTCGATTTTATTACTATATTATTAATAAATTTTAATAAATAAATCTAATTTTAATCTAATTTCTGATCTACCTTCAACTTGATTTCCAACCCAATTTTCGAACTAGGTGATGTCATCTAGGGTAAAAGTTAGCAACACTCTACTTTAAATTATAATGAAATTTATTTTAATAAATATAATAATAAACAAAAATAAAACTAGCAAACAAATAAAACAATTAGCAATAAAATTTAAATTAAATCATGATAATATTACTAGTAATAAAATGGATATAATATAAAATTTATATAAATTAATAAAGATAAAAGCAAGGTCTTACCTTAAATATTTAAAAAAAAAAAAATTTATATAAATTATAATTTATATATTATTAAATATCTAAAAAATAAATAAAATAAAAGTTAGTTCATCAAGTAAAACCATAGTTGCAGTAATTCATTACTAATGCTTAAATATCTAAATGTTCTAGTACAGAGCACCTTACAATAAAGAAAACTATCAGATAACTCAAAGTATTTCTTTATTGAGAGTTGTACTAAAAAAACTAATACTATATAACTATACATGCTGACTAGGGTGTATGGCATGGAGGTCATTGGCATGCCTATAATGCATACCATTGGCATACCCAAAACTTAAACGGCCTATAGGCATACTATTTATTATGTTTTAATATAAAAAATTAAAATTTAAAGAAAAGTTGAATCTAAGTTTTGAGATATTCTGAAAGATACAAACTGTATATATATAACTGGCCAATCAAAATTGTGTATTTTATCATGTAAATTGGTGGCATGCCATCTGGCATAACTAGTACAGGCTTTGGCAAATAATATACCATCTGGCATGCAAGATTTTTTAGCTATACCACACACCCTAATGCTAACAAAATTATAAAACTGAAATTAAAATTTGAAGATGAAATTGTTTTTAATTTATTTTACTTAAAAGATGGAATTTTTTGACACTTTTTTTTGAATAAACAAAATTATAAAGAGTATAAATATATAAATTTTATTTGCTCTTTCTTATAAAAAATTTTAATTTGCTCTAATAGAGAC